CGAAGTGTGATTTATTGCTCAATAATCTCTGTGAAAGTTTCAACAAGGTTATCCTAAAAGCACGTGATAAACCTATAATAACCATGTTGGAGATCATCAGGGTGATTATGATGAGAAGAATTCATTCTCAAATGGATAAAGTGAAAAAAGCCAATGGAGACATTTTTCCGTCGGATCAGAGGACCTTAGAAAACAACAAGAAGAAAGTACATGAGTATATTTTCGAGTGGAATGGTCATGATATATTTTAAGTTGATGGATGGGTTGGTGATCAGTGGACAGTTAATTTGACATTAAAAACCTGCAGTTGTAGAAAATGTGACATCTCTGGAATTCCTTGTGTTCATGCTACAGCTTGTATCTTTTATAAATGGGAAACTGTTGAGGATTATGTTCAGCATTGGTGCATAAAAGATACATTTTTGAAAGCATATTCGCACATGCTCAACCCCGTTAAAGGGCAAAAAGAATGGCCTGGTTCTACATTGAATACATTAGTGCCATGGTACGAAAAGCCAAAAAGAGCAGGAAGGCCGTTGAAGCATGCTAGAAGGAAAGAACCCGACGAGTCAGGCCAGAAACGAGTGCCGGCAAAAAGAAATGGTCCCAAATATTCATGCTCAAAATGTGGAAAGTTAGGGCATGATAAGAAAGGGTGTAAAGAGCCATCTATGAACCAAAGTCCATGCGAGTCTAGTCAAATAATAAAGAGACAAAAATTGTCGGTAAGAATTAAATTTCATTTATATTTTTTTGTCTCGATCTCACATTTTAATACATTTTTGCTGATAAACGTGTTTTTGTAGGTAAAGAGAAATGTTGAGGAATCAAATTATGTTGTTAGAGTTTCTAAATCATTACCACATGTTATTTTTTTATTTGTATTTTTTTTTTCGGATCCAATATTTTTATTGTTTTAATAGGAGTCACATGTTGCTCATACATTATACACTACCACATGTTAATTTTATTATTTTGAAATATTATTATTATTTGCAGGAATCGTCATTCGGAACAGTTACATCTTTTGTGGCGATAAGGATATACAGAATGGAGTCAAATAGACTTGTAACGCAACAAAGTGATAATCATTCTATAGTAACAAGGGTGTACATTGATGATGAAGCTTTTGATAATTTTTTGAGAAGTCTGCTTTTAACAAGAGTATACTAGTGGTTTTAAGAAGTTATATTTTTTAGAAGCTTGTGAGAATTTTGCTTTTGTTTTTGCTCATTCCAGTGTTTTTAGAAGTTTGCTTTTGGTTCAGTTTCGTTTTAAGAAGTATGTTATGTTTTAAATGATCGAAGAGTTAATGTATTGAATTTGGTTTCACATTTTATTTTGTAAATGTATCTTGCTGACAAGTGAATCTTAAACCTATAGTGCAGTATGGTATTGAATTTGAAAAATTTGATTAGTGTTATTTTAATGTTTTTGGTACATAAATCTTTTATGATATCGAATGTTGCTAAATAAGGATTATAATGAAAACAAGTATGATTGAGAGAAATTTTAACTTTAGAACATATTTTTGTTTTGGTGGACAAGTTGGGCATGTTACTAACCCTCTGTTTCTTTCTTCTTGAGCCCTGACAGACACAAAGCTATTCTAGTATAATAGCAAATATTAGAAATCACTTTTACTATTCTTGATTGAAAGATTTTGTTGAGTACATCAAAACTAAACAAAAATTATTATCTAGTCCCAATACATACTTTTTTACAAGAATCACATTTTACTACAAGGTTTTTGTAACTCTTTGAATTATTCAATTGAAAATGACAAGAAATTAGAATAAACAATTGTCTTGTTTATGGCTTCGTTCTACTTCTGTTCTTATTCATATTCAAACTTATTAGTGTCAACTTTGAAGGTCAGTATGCCTAGCTAAACCATCAAATTATTACACAAGTATTCACTGCTGCTTTGTTCTCATGATAATAAAAAATCTATAACAACAGGATGAAACTTAGAATTCATTAAATTTGCAACACACTTTTAATCTAAACAAGAGCTTAGAATTCATTAAATTTGAAAAATTCGAACCACATCGTACGATTCATAAAAATTACACATTTCCAACCGAATCTTTCAATTCAAAAAAGCTAAATAACAGTAGGATGAAACTTCACATTACCATTCAAAAAATTTGCAGATTTTCAAAATTTTGAACATGACAAAAACGTTTCAGCTAACCAAATATGAATCCCAAAATTGAAATTCCTACCAGCAATTTGAATCCAAAACTATATATACCGGTCTTCTCTTTATATGTTTGTATCTGCACCTCTAATTGTTTTCACCTTTTTCTTGCACTTAGCAATTTCTTCCTCCATCTTTTACACTTTCTTTCACCACCAGTCACTTTGTCTTCTTCAAACTTTTGGATGATGAATTTGGTTTAGCCATGAAGAAGAATTGAAGAAGAAGAAGAGGAGAAGAAAATTTTCTAGGTTTTTTGGCTGAGAAAAAGGGAACAAATTGCAGAGGAACGATATGAACAAAGAACAGAGGTGAATCGATTTTTATTAGCTGAGAAATAAGAAAAAGATAAATATACCCTTACTGCCTTACTGGAACAGGTTACCCATCATGTTTTTTTGCCAAAATGTGAAGGAGGGTGCAAAGTGCCAAGGAATTTGCACTACAAGGGTGCAAAGTGCTATTTTTCCAATTTAAGAGTGCAAAGTGCCAATTACCCGTTTAATTTATATTAATTTTATTGGTTAAGGGACCTGCACTTGTATTAGTCCAAAATTAAGGGTGTGTAGCCAATTTCCCCTTCAAATATATGGCTACATTCATAATTTCTAAAAGCATTTAGCATTTAACATTTATATATATATATATATATATTTATCTATCATCAATTACGTATTTGTATCTAAAAATTAGATATAATTTACAAGTTCCAATCCCAGATTATCATTCCAAAAATTGCATGCGGATATATAAATTTATTTTATTAAGAAATTGGCATCTACAAATAATATTAAAACACCACTAGAAGTGAAAAAGAGACATAAAACTTAAGAATTTTTTAATCGTACGCGTAGTTCGAGTTTTTTATTTTTTTAAAAATGGGTTTAGAATTTCCTTTCTTTGGTGGAAACACATTTTCATTTTATCATTATTACCAGAAACTTTCCAAAAACTTTTCAAAATCATAGAAACGACCCCAAAACGTTTCTAACAGGTGTCATGGCGATTCGATTTTCAAAATATTTTCGAAATGTGGAAACGCGTATGGTTGAAAGTTTCCGTGCATCATAGGTGATAATTTAAAACTGATTTCACATTAACAGTTGTTGTTTACTTCGATTCAACTTCAGTAATCGGGTTTATGGATAGTATTTGTTCATATTATCACAAAATTATGGACCACAAAAGTATTTGTTCATATTAACTGATTCCACATTAACGGTTTTTATTAATATAGTTGATTGAGCGATAACTATCGGTCAACCAATTTTTGATAATATTAGAAACCATCTCATGTACCATTATAGATGGATTGCTTGAAATTTTCAACTCGATCCAATGAATTGATTAAAAATGTTTTATCCACCTAAAAATATAGTCGGTATGAATTTGTTGATATGTAAATACCGATTCAGTCCCAACCCGTACTTTCTATATTGAAGATGAAGAATCAAAACAAACACAGGGAGAGTTTTCCACCAAGCAAATTAGCGAGAAATAAATGCATATTTACATTCTTCGAACTCAAACTCTTAAAAAATGTACATAATAGATTTTCTCAACAACATTGTTCGATACTTTTTTGGGCAAATTACGGCCACCCCCTGAGGTATGGTCAAATTACGAAAAAACCCCTCTTGTTTGGGTAATTACAGCCACCCCCTCGTTTTAAATATTTTTACGTAAAATTTATGTAATTCGTTTATTTACCGAACCAAATCGTATATTTAGTTCGGTAAACGGTATGAAATGTTGGCGTACCGAAATTTTGGTTCGGTTTTACCGAATTAACATCCCTAAATTTACCTCTTGAGGGGTCTTTTCGTAAGATAAATACATAGTTGATGGGGGTGGCTGTAATTACCCAAACAGGAGGGAGGTTTTCGTAATTTGACCATAGCTCAGGGAGTGGCCGTAATTTGCCCTACTTTTTTTAATTCTTATCAAGTAGGCTTTATTTGACTTACAGAGTGAATTAATAAAACTATAAATACCAGATATTCATCAATATAAGAGCAACCCTATTTGAGTTATTAAATGAGTTATCACATCTCTTAACTACTATTTGATTTCCAAAATTAAAAAAGAAATCCGCAATGAGTAAGTATTTTTAATATTTCACATCTTTATATCTAAAAATACTTGATGGAAATTGAGTTATCAAAAAATTAACCACCTAAACATTGAATTAGAAATTTACATGTGACAATTATAAATAAAATAAATCAAAAACTTCCAATTGATATGATAACTATAGTTGAAGTATATAAATTTTAAATAAATATTAAAATATTATCTCAAATATCGAAAAAGTATTCGATAACTCAATTCTTATATTTACCATTGGAGTTGCTCTAAATTATATATTCTACATACCAACTTATATATGAATGAATAAATATGACAAACCTCCATAAAAAAAAGTATTTAATACAACAAAACAAAATTATGAAGAAATTAAATCAAAAGAAAATTAAAAAAAAAAAGGGGGCCATAAAACTACACACAAAAGAAAGAAAGAAAATGTATACATATACCATATACTACAAACAAACGATAATGATTAAAAAGAAAACAAAAAAGAGAGAGAAAAAAGAAAAGAAAAGAAAAGAAAATAATAGAGTTAAATAAGAGAAGGACAAATCCATGATGAAACAGTACCTTGTTGAGCCACAGAAGAAGAAGAAGCAGGTAGCATTGTTCTCCATACCTTTGTCTGCAAGATTCAAATTGTAGCCACTAATTTATATATGCTGATGCGAATCTCTACTAGTGTTTATTTTCCCATCAAAACCCACTATCTCAATTTTTCTTCATCATTACTTCTTCTCCATCTTCTCATCAAATCATCATTCTCATCTCCATTATTATTATTATTATTATTATTATTATTATTATTATTCCTGATCGCTTGTCCCGTAGCGGAAGATGTTATAATTTCTCTGCCCAGAAACTCACCACCAAAATCCATTGATGGCTGCAGGTTTAAAAGATGATCCCGCCGTGATAGTACAAAACTCATGTTTTGATTGTTTGAAGTCGAAGCACCAAGCGGGGCGGCGGCGTTGGTGGTGGTGCTCATGGGGTTGTTAGCGTTAGTAGAATCTACCATGCTGGAATTCAAGAACGACGGCGGCGGAGGAGGAGTGGTGGAGGATGAGGGCCTTAGAAGTGGGCCTAGATGGCCGCCGGATCTCAAGGAGGAGGCGGCGGAGAATAGATCCATCCTCCGAGGATAAGGGGAGCCGCCCGAAAATGGGGCTGCCGGAATCCCAGTGAACTCCTGCACCATTTGCCTGAAGTTGGTGGTGTCAGTCGTCAGCACGGTGGTGGGAGCTCGACGTGAAGCCCGCGTGCGCTTCTTTGGGTTTTTAGGAACACTCGCCTGCGGTGGGGCCCGGCCCGCATGGCCCTCGGCGGCCGCCGTACTTGTCGGAATGGGTAATGACGATGATGATGACGTGTTGCCAAAGTGGGGGGCGTAGTAGTTGTCATGATGTTCAGATCTTATTAAACCCGGCCTGGACCAAATCAGATCGTGATTATCGTTAGTGTTCATGTAGTGATCGAAGAAAGTGGGGTTTTGAATTTGATGGTGAGGAAGATACGGCGGCGGCGGCGGATGTGGGGCGGCGGCTGAGATTGTTGATCGGAAATGAGAAGAAGGGTTGAAGAAAGAAGAGATTGATTCTGATCCCGCCCTCGAATCAAAATCTTGTTCATCTCCTCCACTAGAGGATTGCATACTCCCACTATTGCCAGAATCCATCAACAACGACTTTTAAGAGTTAGAGAGAGAGAAACAGCTTTAGAGAGAGAGAAACAGCTTTAGAGAGAGAGAGAGAGAGAGAGAATCTTCAAAGGAAAGAACTACAGCCCATATGATCTTTCAAAGTTCTGATCTATTGGAACTTCCGATGAGACAATCTTTGGAGTATCAGCTGAGAAGAGGGCTGCTTTTTTAGGGTTTGGAAGAGAGAGAGAGAGAGAGAGAGAGAGAGAGGGAAAAAGGGAAGAAAGAAGAAAAGGTTAAATAAGTGATGGCTCTGAAAGAAAGGCGGTATAATAAAAAGTTTTTACATTCATTCACCACAAAAGAAGAAAAAAGGAGATAGAAAGAAATAATGTGGGGTCGCCATTGGAGGAGAGGGAGGAAGCTGCCGGTAGGTGGCGACGGGTCAAACTCAAACACACAACACACACAGTGAAAGTGAGTGAAATGGTTGGCCAGTTTGATGTTGAGTGTCAAGGTAATGAAAATGATATATATATAGAGAGAGAATGTGAAATAATGGGTTCACAAAATCTAATGGGGATTTGTAGTTATTACAAAAAGTGAAGGATAATTAAGGGAGTAAAGTTTAGGTGGCTAGGCTTTTTTTGTTGAGGAAGGTTTAGGGGCTTAGGCTAATTAATCATTTATTATAAATATTTGCTAATTACAATGTTCTATTCCATAGTGTTTTATATTAGGGCGAATGACAAATATACCCATTGAGGGCAATTTATTTGCATTTTAATCCATAGTGTTTTATATTAGGGCGAATGGCAAATATACCCATTGAGGGCAATTTATTTGCATTTTAATCCTGACAAAAATTACTCCTACAAAAAAAACACATATGCTTAGAGTTTCCGAAAATACCCTCTCTTAAATACTAAAAAATATACAGATCCCCGTCCCTTTTAGTTTCTGTGAATACAACGCTCCATCTTCTCTCTCAAAAATAAGAAAACTGCTCGAAAATATCTCCATCGGTTTTTTTCTTCACCCAAATCAGTACACTCACCGGAAATCAAAGCAAAATCACTCCGATTTTCGAAAGATACTCTTATCTCGTTGATTGTTGAGTAATTTCGACTACATCGTTCGAAGTTGTCAAATCCGCAAAAATACAGTCAAACTTTGCGAAATCCTAATCGAACGAGCTTTGTGAGTGTTTTCTAATATTATACTCTACAAATATTTGTTTTGTGACATAAATAATGCTATTGTGTATGCTTTTTTTCATTATAAGGGTTCAATTTTCTGCATTGGCAGTAATTTTGCCTGCATACAGTGATTTGTGTTCCCTATTTTCGTGAATCTGACAATATTATTGTTATACACAAGTCACCTGTTTGAAATAGTTGTTTGTATGTGCCCTATTTTCCTGCATGTGACATTGATTTTGTGATACACATGCCCCCTGTTGAAATAGTTTGTTTGTCTGTGCCCTATTTTTCTGCATCTAACAGCATTTTTATTATACACAAACCCCCAATTGAATAGCTTTTTGTGTGTGCCTATTTATACACATGCCCCCTATTGAAATAGTTGTTTGTTTGTGCCCCATTTTCCTGCATCTGACAGTATTTTTGTATACATAAACCCCATATTGAAAATTAAGTTCGTGTGTGCCCTATTTTTCTGCATCTGACAATGACTTTGTGGTACACATGCCCCCTGTTGAAATAGTTGTTTGCATGTGCCCTATTTTACTGCATCTGACATTAATTTTTATGATACACATGCGCCATGTTGAATAGCTTTTTGAGTGCCTGTTATTTTTTGCATCTGATAGTGATTTTGTGATACACAAACTCCCTGTTGAAATAGCTATTTATATGTGCCCTAGTTTACTGCATCTAATAGTGGTTTTTTGTGATACATATCCCCCATGTTGAATAGCTTTTTGAGTGTATACTATTTTCCTGCATCTGACAGTGATTTTTTTGATACACAAGCCCCCTGTTGAAATAGTTGTTTGTATATGTGCTATTTTATTGCACCTGACAATGATTTGTGATACACATGCCCCCATGGGGAGAAATTAAGTTTGTATGTGTCTCATATTTTCCTGCATCTTACTGTATTTTTGTTATACACAAGTCCCCTGTTTGAAATAGATGTTTGTATGTGCCCTAGTTTCCTGTATCTGATAGTGGTGGTGTGATACACAAGCCCCCTGTTGAAATAATTGTTTGTCTGTGTGCTAATTTACTGCATCTGACAGTGATTTTTTGTGATACACATGCCCCTGTTGAATAGCTTTTTGAGTGTCTGATATTTTTCTCCATCTGACAGTGATTTTGAGCTGGTGTTGCTCTCCACCGTCGCTTCAGCTTCAGTGACAAACAATGAGAGGACAAAAGCTATAGCAAGTACTCTTTTTTCTTCCTTGCAATTCATATTTAGTTTTTTAAAATATATTATATATCTGTTTTAAATTCGGTTATTTATTGTTATACTTTGTTCCTCCCACTCAGGTCATCAAGAAACCAAATCACCAAATCCCAAAAAAGGGCTTCGGGTATGCTATTTAAACACATTAAATATACTCTACTTTACTTCCATTAACAGAAGTATTTGATCTCCGTGTATTTTCTTGATAATCATAATCTGATACGCATGACATATTATAACATACCATATTAATACTGCCATTGATAGTGTACTTACAATGTCTTTTTTCTTTTACTTTCACATGAACATTTACTCCCAACACAGGCAAGAATAAGAGAAATCCGACATAAAAATCCTTCGAACCCTCAGTACATATCAAGCTTCACTAGACTCTTTAACTTTAGTGATCAGGTTCAATTAACCGAAGATCATCTAACCTCCTTAAGGCAAACACCATTTCGTGAATTTTACATACCCATCATTTGTCAAAGAATCAACCCTTATACTGTTAAAAAGTCAGATCACCTAATACATAGGATTTTATCGACATATGACCGAAATAAACAAGCTTTTATTATTGCGAAAAAACGATTGACAATCAAACCACAGAATGTCGACTTATTTTTTGCTTGACGAATGGACAAACTAAACTGGCAATTGCCGATGATACAAGAAGCAACAGACCAGAAACAGAGTTTTATAGAAAAACATTTGGTCATCTAAATAAAGTCACTTCCAAAGATTTCCAAACAACATTGATAAGCTTGCAAGGTTCACGTACTCAAGAAGCACATGATGATGTTACAAGGATAATAGTCCTCAGCCTCATGATGAAATTCTTCTTCACTACAAGTCAATCTGTGAATTGGTCGTACTTTCAGTACGTGGATGATCTAGAGAGAATCAATAACTTCAAATGGGTAGAAGAGGTAGGCAAGTTCTTCATGAACTCTGTACAAAAAGTAACTGCAAAGGCAAAGTCTGAGAATCAACCTATAGAAAATTTTGTGGACTCCGTACATGGATGTGTTACCATGTTACTGGTAAGTAAATGTCAAATCTAAGATTTTATTAATATTTTTCTTGTTATACTCATATTTTTTTTTTTTAGTTCTGGTTCCTTGAACGGTGTTCATAGATCCTGCCTAAACAAAAGAGAAAGTTTCTAAGATACAGAAAATGGAACTTGCATGAAGTCTGCCGACAAGCCCATGTACTTTAAGTGAGACACATAGAACCAGCTCAGGTAAAAAATATTCAATGAGCCCATTTAAATGATACTATATTGTCAAGAAATGCATGATATATTCGCACATTTATTATTCATAACTTGTATGCCCTGGACAATAATATTGCTTGTATGTTTCTTTATGCACATACACATCCTCATACACATCCTCATATGCAATTATGTTGTCATAAACAATAAGATAGTGCAGTACTATATACTACTTCACTGTCAATGACAGTATTGAGTATTGATTGTCCTTCCTATTGAAATTATTATAGGGGTCTTTACAAATAAGTCCATCAATGGGTACTTATTCATAAAGAGATCCAGACAAAAAACTCATTTACCAATAAGTCCACACATGGTCCAGATTTTTGTAAAGGACCAAAATAACCCCTCATACTTTAAAATGCTCCAATTTCATCATTAACTTTATTTAACCTCAATTTGACCCCAAATTTCACAAATTATACAATTTTGACCCAAAACTTTTTTTTTTTCAAAAAAAAAAAAATTCAAAATTTTTTTTTTCCCGCCAGTCTCCGGCGTTGACTTTTCATTCCTTTTTTCCTTCCGGATTTTTTCGCCGGTCTCCGGCGTTGACTTTTTTTTTCTTCTTTCTTTCTTTCTGTAACTTTTTTTTCGTTTAAACAACAATATTGCTGTGATTGACAGTAATATTAACTATCTTACTGTTAAACACAGTAAAATTAACTAAACTACAGTTTAACAAAGTAATATTGCTATATTAATCTCTAGCACAGTAATATTAACACAACAAAACTCATTATTATTGTGTAATAGAATAATATTACTATGTTGACCGTTCAACAAATGTAAACATAATAAAAAACCAAAAGAATTAATATTATTGTGAGTGACAGTAATATTACTATAACAACAGTAATATTACCGTCAACCACAGTAATATTACAATAATAGACAGTACTATTATTACGTTACTCCGTGAATAACTCAAACAAACAAAAAATCCAAAACAAAATAATAATATTGATGTGGTTGACAGCAATATTACTATAACAACAGTAATATTATTGTCAACCACAGTAATATTATTGTGTTTACAGTAATATTACAATAATAGACAGTAATATTATTACGCTACTCCGTGAATAACTCAAAAAAAAAACAAAAAACCTAAAAAAATAATAATATTGATGTTGTTGACAGTAATATTATTGTGTTTACAGTTATTTTACTGTCAACAACAGTAATATAATTACGTTGACTTGTCAACAAATCCAACAAAATAAAAAAAACAACAAAAAATAAAAAATAATAATATTACATTAATTTACTGTCAACGGCAGCACAATTACATAAATGTATTGCCAACAGCAGTACAATTACG